TTACCTGTCTTCTGCTGATGTCTATGCTTCGCTCTAATTCCATTTTAGCAGCTGCCAATTCTTGATGATGACTATGCCGTAACAAATCAATTGCAGCTGCATGTTGATGGTTTAGTTCCGAGCGTAAGGAAGCTGGAATACAAGGGAAAAAAAAAAACCTTTTGTGTATTTTAGAAATATTGATACTTCACATAAAAATTATAAAAGTCACAGAATAGTATTTTTTTTAATTAGGACACTTGTGTATGCCCATTAAAATATCCTAGACTATCATATAACATCATGAATTTAGAGGTCATCTAGCTTTGTAAGGATAAGGAAATTTTCATCTGCTCAGATGGATCAAGGTATTTCCATATATGCTTTTGGTTTGCCAGTAAGGTGTGAATGGAGACAAAATGTTTTTTAACTTTTCTAATTCCCTATTAGAATAGTAACATTTTAGAACTGAACAGTACCATAACATTCTCATTTAGGAAGCAACTTCCCACCCAGGTAAGAATTCTTCCACAATAGTTCTGAAAGACGTTAAACACTGGCTGGTGAATGCTTTGATTTTTAAGTCATGATTTTTATTTGAATCTGAGATTATTTGATACAAACCATATTTATTGAATGCCAGGTACTACACTAAGGGAGAACAAAATATGACCCTGTTCTAATAACCACACAGGCTAGAGGGAAAGGCATCAAGCCAGGGAATTAAGTGGGATAGCAGAGATGAATATTATGAATGAAAGCACAGTGGTGGAAGCACCCAAATTTCCTAGGAGAAGGAAACTGGGAATGCTATCACAAAGGAACTGTCACAATAACTCAGTCTAATGCACTGAGTAAGGGTTCTCCCAAGTGGAGAAAGAGAAAAGCATTAATGAGGAAGGGATAACATACAAAAGCAGAAAGAACCAAATCGATCAGGTGAACTGTAAGAAGACTGGTGTGGTGGGTGCCCACAGAGCATGTGGTCATAGTGGAAAGAAAATGGAGCCCAGTCTGAGAAAGTTTTAGCACAAAATGCTTTTGACTTTACATTTGGGTTCATGGTTCCCAATCTGGGGTATGTGTGGCAGTATGTCTGAGGGACTTTTAGAGTACACACGATCATCTTCTGAAACATGAATTGTACTTGAAGATTTTGGGGAAAGCCATTACTTTCATGTTAATACAAAGGAGATATGAGTAAAATGCAAATTGTACATTTTAAAGCTAAAACATGAGACAACTTCAAAGAAATGTTGTGCTTGTAACCAGTCATTTTAGGCTCTTCCTGAGACCTCTATGTAGGGGGCATAAGTTCAGTCTTCCTGCGGTAAGCGCTACTTCTGCGGAGAAACTTGACAGGCACTGAGGTAGGACATGGGAGTTACTGAAGGATTTAAAGTTGGGAAGTTCCATGGTGAGATCTGAGTCTTTTTTTTTTTTTTTAAGATTATTTATTTATTTATTTATTTGAGAGAGAGAGAATGAGATGAGAACACATGAGAGGGGATAGGGTCAGAGGGCAAAGCAGACTCCCTGCCGAGCAGGGAGCCCGATGCGGGACTCGATCCAGGGACTCCAGGATCATGACCTGAGCTGAAGGCAGTCGCTTAACCAACTGAGCCACCCAGGCGCCCAGATCTGAGTCTTATAAAGATTAGCCAGACTGGAGTCTGGAGGGTGAACTGCAGGAAAAAGATCAACGAGAAGGTTATAGCAATAACCCAGGTGAAAAATGATATGACCCTGAACTGAGTATGACAAAAGGACTAAAGAAGAGGGAACAGACGTAGGAAATATTTAAGTGAAGGAACTAACAGGATGTGGAAGCAAAAGAAAAAAAGTTAAATGCATCTTCTACCTTCCTGGCGTGGGCAGATGGGTAAACAGTAATACTCTTAATTAAAATGGGAGGTACAGGAATGGACACATTTTGGACCTGAGGGAGATGGTGAGCTAATATTTAAAAATATAGAGTATAAGTTAGAATATCTAACTTTCTAATATGCAGTAAAAAATAGAAATCTAATTCACAAGGAAAGCAGTTTGGTCTAGAAATACATATTTGGAATCACTAGCATAATAGATGGTAGTTGAAGTCATAGTTGTGAATCCAATCAACCAGGAAAAGCCTGAAGACTGAAAAATGGACCAGAGGGCTGGGGACTAAATCCTGGGAAACAGCAATATTTAACAGATGCATGGGAAACAGGACTAGCACATAAGATTAAAGAGCAGGGATCAGAAAAGTGGGAGTGCAGTGGAATTTCAAAGTTCAATGGTGACCTCAGGGAGAGTAATTTCAATGGAATAATGGGGGCAAAATGTAGACCTGAATGATCCTGACAAAGGACTAAGTATCTAGAATACATGAAGAACTCTCAAAACTCAACAGTAAAAATACAAACAATCCAGTTAGAAAAGATATACAGATAGCAGATGAACACATGAAAACATGTTGAACATCATTAGCCATTAGAGAAATGCGTGAGTAAAATTCACAATGAGATAATACCACACTCCTATCTGAATGGCTAAACTACAACACAGTGACATCAAATGCTGGTAAGGATATGGCAGAAAACTGTCACTCATTCGTTGCTGGTGAGGATATAAAATGGTACAGCCATTCTAGAAAATAGTTGGGCAGTTTCTTAAAAGAAAACTAAACCTACAACCATCATATGACCTGGCAACTCCACTCCCAGGCATTTATCCCAGAGAAATGAAAATTTACACTTACACAAAACTGAAAACACCGGATGTCCTTCAATGGGTGAAGGACAACAACTGACCTTCAGCAATAAAAAGGGACAAACTACTGATACATACAACCACCTGGATGAATCTCTAGAGAATTATGAGGGGTGAAAAAAAGCAATCCCCAAAAGGTTACACATTATTACATTTATAACATTTTTTAAATGACAAAGTTATAGAAATGGATAACAGATTAATGGTTACCAGGAATTAAATGTGGGGAGGAAAGGGAAGTAGGTGTCGCTATAAATGGGCAACAGGGACCCACATGGCAATGGGAGTGTTCTAGGTCTTGACAGTGTCAATGTCAATATCCTGGTTGTGATATGATCTATAGTTCTGGGGAAAATGGATAAATGGTTCAGAGGATCTCTCTGTATTATTTCTTACAAGCTCATATGAATCTACAACTATCTCAAAAAAGTTTAATTTAAAAAAATCACTAAAAGTCCTTTTGCCAATAAAGAGGTATTGAAATCAAGTTTCAATGGACTAAACAATAGTGCTAACACTTGGCCTTTTTTTTTTTTTTAAGATTTTATTTATTTATTCATGAGAGATAGAGAGAGAGAGAGGCAGAGGCAGAGGGAGAAGCAGGCTCCCCGCGGAGCAGGGAGCCCGATGTGGGACTCGATCCCAGGACCCTGGGATCATGACCTGAGCTGAAGGCAGACGCTTAACCGACCGAGCCACCCAGGCATCCCACACTTGGCCTGTTTTTACTTCTCCTCACACAGCTGGGGAAAGTCTGTGGTCCCTTGGACCAGAATCTTACAGACTACCTCTGCATTTGACTATAAGCTCCTTCTATATAAATACAGAGCAACAGTTCATTTTTGAATTTTCCTTGCTCAGCAGTTTCTGTAGCATGTAAAGAGGTATCACACAAATGTCTGATAAATAGTCTCACTATGATTTTCACCCTAGCTATCACAGTGGCTGGTAAAGGAGGAAGAGGAGAGAGTTCTGATGACTTGGCCTAGGGCTCCCAGCAATAGTAGAGACAATGAATTGGGTCAGACGGCTTTGCCTTTGGGGCCCAAAGTATCCACAACACTTTGGTCTTCTTTGTTCCCAATTCCAACTTGGAAAGGGTATACCCCTGAAATGTGACAACATACAATAAAAACTCTTAAAAGAATTAGGGGGAAAAAACAAAAGGAATATGAGATGGTAGGAATAAAAAGTTATTGAACGACACCAAAAAAACCTCCAAAAACTCTTTAAATACGTATACAGTTTTTCTTCAAACCTCAACTGATCTCCTTATAAAAAAGGCAGTAATTTGAATACTTCAAAGATTAAAATCCTGTTAAAGAAATATCTGAAAAATACCTAGACAAAAAGTCAGACCTAAACATGAGTTTTCTCCTAAAAACAAAATCCTGAAGTGGAAAATAAACATATGACTATCAAGTCTAAGGACATGTTGGCTCCATGCCTATCTACTTCTTTTAGTCACTGGAGAGTGGAAAGTCTGAATGTCCTGACTCCATTTAGTCCCTCAGTGGTAGGTAGCAGCACCAGTGGATGTTGTTTACATAGCCAGAGTATGGAGAAAGTTGAGGGAACCTCACCTCACCTCACTGTTTCTGTTCTATCCATTCTACTCCTCCATCCTCACCTCTTCATCTGGTAACTTTAAATATCCAAAACACTTAGATATTCATTTTGGTGTTTCAAAAATTAAAAATAAAGCTGTGATTTCATATTGAATTTTAAAGTAGAACATATAAATATGAATATTATAATCCTTTCAAAATACCAAGCATAGCCTTTCCTTCATCTTCTAATTCAAACCGAAGAGTCTGAAGTTCCTGTTCCATTTCTACCCGGAAGCCCTCCATTGACTCTCTGTGTGCATCTTTTAATGACTGAAGCTCTGCAGAATGTTTTTGTTGTAAATGATTTTCAAGAGCCTAAAACAGGAGAAACATACTCAAATTATTATGCTAGAATACAGGAAGGAAAATGCAAACAAAATAAAAAATTACTAAAACTCAGTTATTTAAGAAAAACAAGGCATTTGTAATTCATTTTCAAGAAAATTATATATAAGATTAATGACCTTTAGAAAATAAATTAGTAGGGCCACTTCAATAGAACAATCCTTTTGAAATCAGTTTGATTCAATATAGTGTGTCTGAATTGGGATATGGGTGGGCCCTTTAAGGTAGTTTTCAAAAAAAAGTCATTGTCAAGTTGCTGAGGGGGTAAGCCACCTAAATTAATGCGTAATTTCTCTGTGTGCACAAACTTAGGAAAGAGAAGAGAGGAGAGGGGCATTAACAAGAAAAGATCTTCTGATCAGAAAGAGATGATGATGGCTTTTACAACTCCAACCTTATCAAATATTTTGTCGCAACTTTCTGCAGGCATTTTCGAACAGAAGCAAAGGTGTGAGAGTAGGTAAGTGGAAAAGTAAACAAACCTCTCGTGTGATTAGTTCTAAAAGCCTGACCAGAGAAAACAGACTACATGTGGCTGAGACTAAGAGAAGCTATGTGGCCATGGGAAAAAAGAGAGCTCAGGGTACTTCAAGTTTAGAGACTGAACTGTGCCAGGATGGGTTTTCCTTAGCATAATCTGCAACATGAAGGGTTTCTGAGAAAGATACCATGTTGTAATTAGGGTTATATTTCTTTAACCATTACTCTAAAATACTGTTTTTATAAATTAATATTTGGCTACTTATGCTCACTGTTTCTAAAGTGTTTTATTTCTGGGGCACCTGGGTGGCTCAGTCGTTAAGCGTCTGTCTTCGGCTCAGGTCGTGATCCCAGTGTCCTGGGATCGAGCCCCGCATCGGGCTCCCTGCTCAGCGGGAAGCCTGCTTCTCCCTCTCCCACTCCCCCTGCTTGTGTTCCCTCTCTCGTTGTGTCTCTCTCTGTCAAATAAATAAATAAAATCTTTAAAAAAAACCCACAGGTTTCTTTAAATGTAACAATATAAAGGACTTTTAGTTTAGACATTAGTTACATAGGTAGCTTGGCTACCTAATGACAACTATAAAATTGCATGCTCTGATTTCTTCTGAATAGGATTCAGGTTTCAAAGAGACTGAAAGTGTAAAATTAAAGTACTGATACAAGAGCTTATGTGTTCTAATTCACAAATGATATCAATGAATAGGTTATTTACCAGTCAGGCCTCATTGTGTGTTTATGGGCTATATTGAAGTACAGTTGACATACAATATTAGGTTCAGGTGTACAACACAGTGATTCAACACTGATGAATGCTAGGAAATAACCACCATGGTAATTCTAGTTACCATCCGTCACCAAAGTTATTACAATATTACTGACTACATCCCCATATCTTGTCTTATAACTGGAAGTTTGTACCTCTTAATCCCTGTCACCTATTTTGCCCATCCCCCTACCTCGTCCCCTTTGGCAACCACCAGTTTGTTCTCTGTATTTATAAGTCTGGTTAGGTTTTGTTTGTTCATTTGTTTTGCTTTTAAAATTTCTATGGGTAAGTGAAATCATGCAGTATTTGCCTTTCTCGAACTTATTTCACTTCTTTTTAATGGCTGAGTAATATTCCATTACTCAGATGCCACATCTTCATTATCCATTCATCTATCAATAGACACTTAGGCTGCTTCCATATCTTGGCTGTTTTAAATAATGCTGCTACAAACATAGGGCTGCATGTATCCTTTTGAATTAGTTTTTGTATTCTTTGGGTAAATACCCAATAGTGCAACTGCTGGATTGTAGAGTAGTTCTATTTTTAACTTTTAGAGGAACTTCCATAGTGTTTTCCATAGTGGCTGTACCAGTTTGCATTCCCACCAACAGTGCAAGAGGGTTCCTTTTTCTCCACATCCTTGCCAATACCGATTGTTTCCTGTGTCACTGATTTTAGCCATTCTGATAGGTGTGAGGTGATATCTCACTGTAGTTTTGGTTTGCTTTCCCTGATGATAAGTGATGTTGAGCATCTTTCCATGGGTCTGTTGGCCATCTCTGTGTCATCTCTGCTGAAATGTCTGTGCATGTCTCCTGCCCATTTTTAATTGGATTATGTGTTTTTTGGGTGTTGATTTATATGTTCTTTATATATTTTGAATATTCACCTTTTATCAGATATGTCACTTGCAGATATCTTCTCCTATTCAGTGTTTTCTTCATTGTGCAGAAGCTTCCTTTTTTGATGTAGTCACAAGAGTTTATTTTTGCTTTTGTATCCCTTGCCTCAAGGAACCGATCTAGAAAAATTTGCTATGGCCATTGTCAGAGATATTACTGCTTGTGCTCTCTTTTAGGATTTTTATGGTTTCAGGTCTCACATTTAGGTCTTTAATCCACTTTGAATTTATTTTTGTGTATGGTGTAAGAAAGTGGTCCAGTTTTCCCAACACCATTTGTTGCAGAGACATTTTCCCATCGGATATTCTTCCCTGCTTTGTCAAAGATTAATTGACCATATAATTGTGGATTTATTTCTGGATTTTCTATTCTGTTCCATTCATCTGTGTGTCTGTTTTTGTGCGAGTACTAAAATGTTCCAATCACTACAGCTTTGTAACATAACTTAAAGTCTGGAATTGTGATGCCTCCAGCTTTGTTTTGTTTTGTTTTTCAAGATTGCTTTGGATCTTTGGGGTCTTTTGTGGTTCCATACAAATTTTAGGATTGTTTGTTCTAGCTCTGTGAAAAATGCTGTTGGTATTTTGATAGGGATTGCATGAAATGTGTAGTTTGTTTTGGGCAGTATAGATATTTTAACAATATTTGCTTCCAACCCATGAGCATGGAATGTTTTTCCATTTCCTTGTGTCCTCTTCAATTTCTTTCATCAGTGTTTTAATGTTTTCAGAGTATAGATCTTTCACCTCTTTGGTTAGGTTTATTCCTAGGTATCTTATTATTTTTGGTACAATTACAAATGGGATTGTTTTCTTAATTTCACTTTCTGCTATTTCATTATTAGTGTATAGAAATGCAAGAGATTTCTGCACATTAATTTTGTATCCTGTGACTTCACTGAATTCATTTACCAGTTCTAGCAGTTTTTTGGTGGAGTCATTTAGGTTTTCTCTATACAGTATTGGATATATTTTATCATATCATCTGCAAATAGTGCAGATGATAACTTCAGTAGAAATTTTACTTCTTCCTCCCTGATTTGGATGCCTTTTCTTTTTGTTGTCTGACTGTTGTGGCTAGGACTTCCAGTACTATGCTGAATAAAAGTGGTGAGAGCAGAGATCCTTGTCTTATTCCTGACCTTAGGGTAAAGGCTCTGTTTTTCCCCATTTTGGATGATGTTAGCTGTGGGTTTTTCATATATAGCCTTTGTTATGTTGAGGTAGGTTTCCTCTAAACCAACTTTGTTGAAGGTTTTTATTGTGACTCAGTGTTGTACTCTGTCAAATGCTTTTCCTGCATCTACTGAAATGATCATACAGTTCTTATCTTTTCTCTTGATATGATGGGTTTTCTGTATAAAGTATCATGTCATCTGCAAATAGTGATAGTTTTACTTTTTCTTTATCAATTTGGATGCTATTTATTTCTTTTCCTTGTCCAACGGCTGTGGCTAGGACTTCCAATACTATATTGAATAAAAGTGACGAGAGCGGGCTTCCTTGTCTTGTTCTTGGTCTTAGAGGAAAAGCTTTCAGCTTTTCATTGTCAAGTATGAGGTTAACTGTGGGTTTGTCACATATGGCCTTTATTATGTTGAGGCATGTTCTATCTATACTCACTTTGTTGAGAGTTTTTATCATAAACGAATGTTGAATTTTGTCAAATGCTTTTCCTGCATCTATTGAGATGATCATGTGATTTTTATCCTTCATTTATTAATGTAGTAATTACACTGATTTGCAGATATTGAACCATCCTTGTATCCCTGGAATAAAACCCATGTGATCATGGTGTACAGATTTTTTCAGTGTATTGTTGAATTTGGTTCACTGATACTTTGTTAACAGTTTCTGTATCTATACTCATCAGGGAAAATGGAAATAAGGCCTCATTTTTGACCGAAGAAACTTCCTTAACTTTCTGGACAAGATCAAGAGACAAAAGTAAAAAAAAAAAAAAGAGACCACAACTTATTGTATAGGCAAGTTAATGGTTTTTAAAGGAATATGACTTTTTTAACAATTTATAGCCTACCAGTTCTTAAAATAGTTGTCCACACCCAAATAAAGGATTAAAGCAACCTATATCAGTAATAACTATATATGGTGAAAATCATTGTTAGTAAAACCCATTTTTCTATCAAATATTTACCTTAATTATCATAAGGTTCTTAGAAGAAATTGAAAAATATGGTGTAAAGAAATAAATTGAACCAAAATTAATTACCCTAAGACTATGTCAAACTAGTGTTTTCACAGAGAAGGAAGTAATGGATATGGGGAGATTCTGGCATACAATTTGATTAACCCAATAATGTATCTATTTGATTTAAATCTCTTCTGCATGAGCCGTCTGTATCACTGATTTTCACATAGCCTTTGGGGCTATATATAGGGAAAGGTACTATTTTAAAAATGTCTCCAAATTTCATTTCATTGTGAACTTTGTATATAAGGGGGAAAAAGTATAAGTTAAAAAATGTGGGATAAAAAAATATAAATATAAATATATATAAAAATATAAATCCCTTGGATATATATATGTCTTTTTTAAAGATTTTAAAGATTTTATTTATTTATCTGAGACAGAGAGAATGAGAGAGACAGAGAGCACATGAGAGGGGGGAGGGTCAGAGGGAGAAGCAGGCTCCCTGCGGAGCCCGATGCGGGACTCGATCCCGGGACTCCAGGATCATGACCTGAGCCGAAGGCAGTCGCTTAACCAACTGAGCCACCCAGGCGCCCTATATATGTCTTTTTTAGATCCAGCCTGAAAGAGAAAAATTAAAAATTTGATGAAAGACTATTATAAAAGTTCAAAATTGTACTAAGTGATTACAGTGGTTACAGCTCAGTAGGACCATGCTAAATTTATTTAACCACTGTTAACTGTATGACAAACCAGATAGTGTATTAGTCTCATCATGAACTCGGCATTATGTTGGGAAACAGAAATAAAATGTTGGCCTTATTCTGTGTAACTGGTGTGTATGTTTAGTCATTCTGACCCCCACAAGAAGGCAGATTCTAGAAAACACAATGAAATAAAGCAATATATAACTTGGGAGGCAAAAAATGAATTCTTAAGAATTTGAAGGCTAATAATTATTAGGCTATTGGATTACCTTTGAACATATATCACATTAAACTTACTCTTTGTTCCATTTCTTTTTCTTCTTCCATAGTTTGAAATGCAAGGACATGTGCTTCTTTTAAAGATTTATGTCTCTGTTGATGTTGTTCCTCTAATTCTTCAAGCTCTTGGGTAAGTCGTTGTCGTTCTTGTGTAAACTGGGCTTGCAGTTGCTGCAAAGAAGTCTGAGACTGGGAAAGCTGCATCTCCAGGTTCTGTTTCAGCAAGGAAATCTATGCCATAGAATGGTACAATGAAGAATAAGTACAAGGCATATTTCACAAATTGCCAATCTAAGGGAAAAAAAGCATGTCAACGATGTTAACTATAGTAAAATAGTTGCCTTAACTAAGTATCCACTTAAAATGTTTTACAATATATCATAGATTATTTAATATTTACGTATCACCACTTTTAATTCTATTCTTAGTAATTATCCTAAAAAATAGACTGTTTTATTGGTATTAAGTTTGTGGACTCTCTAAAGAACACTGTAGCCCATGTTTAGAAATACACCTATTTGTTATAATGAACACCTATGTTACATTGCAATAAAAATTGATAATATGAAATAAGAACAGGAGAACTAATGTTAATGTATTTATTAGGTTATGGTCACCTCAAGGAGATAGTATAAAAAGTTAAACTGCTTATTTGTAAGGTGGTAAAGTTGAGTAGTTAAGAATGTGGGCTCTGAGTTAAAATCCTAGCTCTGCCACTTGTTATATTAGTACTTGACCAGGCTGTGTGAGTTGAAGAGTGTTACTACACATAGTTCACTTAGAACAGCCCCTGGCATGTAGTAAGTGCTCAATAAATATTAACTAAGATCATTTGAGAATTAAAAAAATTACTCTTTAACAGATTTATCTATTTATAACTTAAAATCCTTATGTAAATAAAAAGGATTTTCACTTTTGGATTTTGATTTAATTCAAAGGATTTGCAAAACTTCAAGCTTTTTTAAAAACCACAAACATACCACAATCCTCTATTTATATCTTCACAATGACAGGTACTTTTCTTTAACTGTGGAAAACTGATCTGTTACTACTTTTGTACACAGACGTCACCATTAACATGTCTGCATTGTTTCTGGGTGTTTTAAAATACTTAAAATTAAGTCCTTTTTAAAGAACAAAAGCACAAAACACATGTATATGTATATATATGTTCACATATACATTTGATACAACCATTTGATTTGATCTATTTCTGTTTTCATAAACAAGAAACTGTAACTTGGAACTTATCTGTATTCTAGTAGAAGTCTGAAGCTAAAAAGAACATAGGGAGAAGCAGATAAAAGTTGTCAAATGTGTTCCAGTAAGTAATTTAAGATGCTATATGTGTTTATATACAAGTAAAACAGTTTCTGTGGCCAAGAAGGCTAAGGGAGAGAGGACACTGTAAAGTGACTTTTTGTAAATGGGAAAAGATTTTCTTTTGATTGATGGAAGGCAGATATAGGATGCCTCAGATGTCTCACAAGGAGAAGGGGCCTGGGAAAGAAAAAGGGTGGAGAATCACCAGATATGCAAAAAATAAGAAGGAAAACTAAGGACAATGTTATAGCAACAGTTAAGGCCATACTCGTAGAGTAGGAAGACTAAGACAAATTATACTATGTGACTTCTTACCATTTTATGTAAAGAAAATCAGGATGAAATGAATATTAAGGACAACCCAGAAAGAAAAAGTAAATCATAAAAGGGTAAAAGGCAACAAAAATGTGTGTTTGTGAACACTAACGTGTAATTGGTAGAGTCATTTTCTTCCCAGCTAGCTGGTCCTTGAAATAGAAAAGACACCTGTCTAACTACTCTCTTCCCAAGTTCAACCTTGTTGCAGACCCAGCATGGGGACCCATGTGACTGCCTTGTCTCTGGTGACAACTTGTTAGAACATATATGGGAACGTTAGGAAAAGACTATGTTACATGTAGAATAATGATTGATATATTATAATGATTGATATTGTCAAAGCTATTAATTGGCCCCTGGACAAGTAAGGACTAAAATCCATCCAGTGAACAAACTGCTCACGAATCTGCCTTGATATGCGTCTGCCTTGACTCAAAGCAAAGGGTCATGGTTTTCCAATTTGCACACAGATACCATATGCACTAGTAGTAGCCCTGGGTCCAGTACCCCAGGTAAGGGTGCACTGAGGAATAAGCCAGTCAGTTCATAGCAGTGTATCTGATTTTCTGCAATACCCACTTCAAACATTCACTGCATCAAAAAAAGTTCTTATACGTTAATTTGACTACAAATGCTCACACTTTAACTATTTAAGGATGAAACTTATGAAGAAGCATTTAAAATGAGGTACCACAGTAGTATAATAGTTACATATTTAAAATCTAAGCACACTTTCAAACCTCTCTAGCTTAAATAAAATACACTTAAATATTTTACTTAATATTTTACACTTAATATACTTTACCGTGAAAGAATTCCAAAGTATTTTTCATTTTAGGATATAAGATTAATCTTTGTAACGATGCTGGATAAAATACACGCAAAAAAGACATTATCATGCAATGTAGTGTTCAAATGTACTTAGTTTAGATATTCTGTATTCTTAACTTCGAAAGCACACCAAAATAATATTAAGGCTATCTAAAATCTCTGGATTCATGCTCAAGACCATACATGAATTATATGCAGAAAGCCTTTATCATGCAATGCAGCATCAAAACTTACTTTGTTGATTTTATAAATAAATTCGTAGCATTGCATTAAATTGTCCGCCTTTATTCAACATGAAAATTACATGGCACTTTAAAACACAGAAATAATGAGCAAAGCAATGTAAAATGAACTAATGTTTTATAGCTATAATTTAAGCAGCTGAGTTTAGTATACTTCATGGAAATACATAATATAAAACTTCATTAATTCAAAATAAAAGAACAAAGATAGACTTTGTGTCAAATAGTTTGGGCAATCTTGGTCAGAACTTTTATTACAAAATTATAGAAAGGCATTTGTTGGATATATGAATGAAAATGGTTATTCAAATAATGTTCAAAGTATGTAGTATTAGTTTCTATACATTTGTCCTAATTTTAAATTTTAGTGCTTTTTATTTTGTTGTTTTTAAATAAAGCAGAAGAATCCTTATTTCAAAAAAGAATTGTAGTCCTCATTTAAAAAATTCTTACCACAGGTGTTTGATATGAATTATATAAGGTATTCTACTGATCAACAGGTATGAGATACTTTGTAAACAATTTTAAAGGCCAATAGTAATTGCTACTCTCTGATCTCTACCACTTAAAACACTGATGTCTTTTTGAAAATAAAGTGTAAAATTTTCAAAAAGATGAAAATTAAAATTAAAAACATCTGGATACATTTTTCTGTAGAAAGGAAAGCTTTACCTATTTCCGCCAGGGCAGTTTCACAAGGATTCTGTCCCTTCACAGTGGTGCATGAAAAAACACCCTCAAATAGAAAATGAATCAAATCTGAGGTACTGGATCTGATAGTATGTCAACATGGAACATGGAATTATGTTAAGCCAAAATATTTATCAATTTTGACAAGAAAGGTCAACGCAAATTCTTAGAAAGTCTAAACCATATGATACTCAGTTCAGTACTTTCAAATAGATAAGGCAATATTAAAAACTGTTAACACAGGCTTGGAGGACAGTAAGGATAATTTTTTACTATGTCAACAACTTATATAAATGTTCACATAGGGGCGCCTGGGTGGCTCAGTCGGTGAAGTGTCTGCCTTCGGCTCAGGTCATGATCCCAGGGTCCTGGGATCAAGCCCCGCGTTGGGCTCCCTGCTCCATTGGAAGCCTGCTTCTCCCTCTCCCACTCCCCCTGCTTGTGTTCCCCTCTCTCGCTGTGTCTCTCTCTGTCAAATAAATAAATTGTTCATGTAAAATGTTTGAAGGTCCCTGAATATTTTAATTCCTTTTTTCCCTCTTTTTAACCACTAATTTGCTATTTTTGAAGAGTCTAGCTAAAAAAATAAATTTAAGCTTAGGGAAATTATGACCATTCTGAGAAAATTCTGAATTGTTCATAATTTCTTGGTATTTTTCTAAGAAAACCTATAAACTGAACTTATCAATTAAGAATCACAAAAATGCCTACTTAATGTCCTTAAGCTATTTCTATAATATGTTCCCAATCACCCTCTCATTCTTCGTTGAAAAAAATTAGAGAGCTTTTATAAAGGACAAAGGTATCCATAACCACTTGTTTTTTAGAACAAGACAGTATATAGCAGAAAACTTGCATGGAAGGCTAGGAAAGAATGTGTGGAGGGGGTGGGTAGATGTTCACCCTGCTCAACAACACTGACAAGGCAATATTTTGTTTGGATGATGACAGAATAGAAGAACTGATCCTCAATGACTATAATGTTACAAAAGGAAATTAATTAATGGGGATTTCATTGTGTCACTAACCCCTTTTACTTTTTTTGTAGGAGATGAATCAAGGAGTTCCCATTTTAGTTACTAATAGATTTAACTTCAATTTAAGGTTGTCTTTTTTCATTTGTTAACTATTCATTTATAATTAAGAAAAGGTAACTATGTTGTCACAAGTATTTTGAAGTTCAATTAATTCTGATAATCATCTTATTTGGGTTCTTACTCCTACTCCAATTAGTATATATGGTTTATATATAGTGGTTCTGGTTTAATATACTGATCATGCCCAAATTCTTACTATGTTATATGTGAATTTCTTTTTTAAAATATGTGAATTGCTTTTAAATGTAGCCTTGTTTTACCAACATTGAGAGAAATATCTTTGTTGCTTGTTATTTATATTTTTAAATGGTGTTAAATGTATTCATGTATTTATTTTTAAAAGATTTTATTTTTAAGTAATCTCTCCGCCCAATGTGGGGCTCGAACTCACAACCTCAAGGATCAAGAGTCCCATGCTCCACTGACTGAGCCAGCCAGGTGCCCCTTTTTTCATGTATTTCTAATTACTTTTTACATAGGAAACAAAGTTTAATATTAAAAGTAGATAAAATGTTCTTTTCTTGTATAGTAGAAAGAATTTAGAAAGGTATGAGGAAATAGTTTCACTCCAGAAGTATCAAAATTTCACAGAACATCTCTTGATTCAAGCTTTGATTCCCCTAAGACAG